CCCCACGAGCACTCTGGGGGTCCCCCACTCAGGGCATATTGTTTTTCAATTTTCTTTTACATTGGAGTATAGCTGATGAACAATGTTGTCATAGTTTCAGGTGCACAGCAAAGAGACTCAGTCATACATATGCATGTATCCATTCTCCTCCACACTCCCCCCCGGCATCCAGGCTGCCACATAACGTTGAGCAGAGTTCAGTCAGGGCATATTTTTATCAGGGATCAGGAACTGCCTTGTACTGCCTGGGAGCCAGCTGAGCAGTGATCTAGGGACCATCACTGGAGTCGAACTGCCTGGGTTTCTCTCCTAGTCCCAACCTGGACCCTTGTAACTTCAGTCTCCTCCTCCAAAAAATGGGTAGTCTCCTAACAGCTGCCAGTTAGGACTGAGAGGGTCACCAAAGGACTTTGTAAACTCCAAGGCCTAACAGGGAAGTTCCCAGGCAGTAAGACTTCCACTTAACAACTTCATTTCACAAACTTTCAACTTACGAATTCTCAGGAATGCAAACTCAAGGACCAGAGCAAAAGGGCTTCAACTCTCCCCAGTACCACCAACTGGTGTTCCCAACCACTGTCTGTCATTTTTGTCCCAACCACCTTGGTGCTTATTCGTCTAGAGCAGCGAGCAGTTCTGAAAGCAGGGTCCCTGGTGCAGCGGCGGCATCTGGGAACTTGCTAGCAATGCAGATTTTCAGGCTCTGCTCCATACCTACTAAATCAGAAACTCTGGGGGTTGGCACAGTAATCTGTGTTTTAACATACCCGCCAGTGGATTCTGATGCCGGCTCCATGTCTGAGAGCACGAGGTTCTCGAAAGTCATAGGGCATCTCCCATGTTCACGCTTCATTCTGAAGTGCTTTTAAAACATGGTTACTCCATGATGATCAATAAAAGGAAAACGATCATCGTGCTGATAGAGTGAGTAGGAGGAGATAAACAAACATGAGAGAAGTGAAAGCCGAGATAATTTTAAAAGATCAATGGAGAGACGATGGCAAGTGTTGCACGTTTGTGTGGGATGACTCACTCAGTGATAGGAACAATTCTGAAAACACTGAATCAGGCGGTGTCTGAGATGCAGCACCTGGGCCACAGACAACACTCATCAGAAAACAAGGACGATGATTCTCAAAATTCGAGGAAATGTGAACACGGGGTCACCGGGTCAGCATCAAAGTGGAAACTCACTGGCTTCATGGAAATTCGGAAAACGCTGGGCGTCTGTGTGTTGCGCTGGGCCTCAGAGTTTGCTCCTAGGCAGGGGTGTGTCCACAGGTTAAAGGCTCATCTGAATCTGTCACATATTGATGCTTTGGCCTATTCTGATGAAACAGAACTAATCAGTTCTAGACCAGACCACAGCAGGAGTTCACTAACCCAACGGTTTTTCTATATGGATGAAACAGTCTGTTTTAGGAAAAAAAAAAAGCGAGAGAGAGGGATGCCTGGTAGACAGTGCATTTGCAAGAAGGAGAAATTATATCAGGTTTTAAATGTTTAAAGGACTAAATCACACTCCCACTTACAAGCTTAAAGCCGAAGGAGTAACTCGATCTACCAACAAAGGATGGGATCTATGAACCACCCATCACTTACAACCAAACGCTTATGCGGGAACTACTGTATATATCATGGCAGTTAAAATTCAGCATTTAAAAGACACAATCCACACCCTGCCCCCTGAGATTCATTTGACTGGGGTAGAGCCCAATTTTAACAAGCTCCCGAAGGGATACTGAGGCAGATGGTACCCGGACCACAGAGCCATTTGTCATTATGGGAGAAGAATCAGAAGCAAAAGCGGCACTGAGTCGCTGCACGCGCTTCACAAACATTGCTGGGGAAAATGCTGTCTGAAACCAAAGCACCACCCGCTGGAGCCCCAATTTAGCACCTGTTCCCACAGCTCAGATCGGGGAAGTCAGCAGTAAATGAGTAACGTGTTACATAAGTTGCTTTTCTGTATGCAGAACCTTAATTCACCAAAGAGGAGTTGAAATCATATAAAAAGCAACAGCCCACCCCCAAAACAAATGCTGGGAAAGCGTAGCCAGGATCTCCCCGTCCCCCTCTGCAAGGCAAAGATGAGGCCCCCTCCGTGCTGAAAACCCTGCTACCTCACCCTTGTGCCACTGGGATCTGGATCCTTGGGGGCAGTGGTCAGAGAAGGTGGGGCTGGGGAGGGGGGGTAGGAAAACATTCAGGGTCTGCATGGGCATGGACACTGGCCGCATCAAGGCTTCCCTCGGCCTGAAAACATAAGTGGAGTCATGCTGTGCTTGACTATGCCTCTGACCCCTGGCTGGCAAGTTCTGGAACGACACAACCCCCTCTGTCTTGGGTCTTCTCCAAGAACCCCAAACCTTTCTCTCCTCTCTCTCTCTCTCTCTCTCTCTGGCAAGGATTCTCAGTCTTTTCCTCTTCCCAGTTACTCCAAGACCTGGATATCATGCTATTTCTAACTAGAGTGTTAAAAGCTGACCAGGGCTGGGGCATTTATCACCCCAGTGACCACAGAAGATGTCACGCAGATACGGAAAGGCATACCATCTACGTAACATATGTGTTACTCCTTCCAGTCAGTCAGCCTCAGGAGTCTTCTCAACAATGACCCAGAGACACCAACTCTCAACCTAGCAGAGCGCAGACTGTAAGTTTCAGAGGGTGCAGTCCTTACCTATCTTTTTATTACTTTACTCCAAGCACCTCGCGTGGTGATTAACTCTCAGGAAGAACAAAAGAAGTATTGAATTGACTTAAATTGACACCTGATGTGAAACGTAATTATCACCCCATTTTGCCACAAAGCAGGTCCCCAAATGCATGAGAGCCACCTAGGGCGCTTGTTAAAAACCCATCTTCTGGGCTCCACCCCAGACTTAGTAAATCAGATTCTACAGGATTTGCATTTTAACAAAGCGCCAAGGAATCTGACACACAAGAATTTGAGAACCACTGCCTTAGGCTTATGAGAACCTCAAGGACACCAACATTGTGGGATGCCATTAAACAAAAGGGCGCTTTGGGAACACCCAAAACCAAACAAAAGAGAGGCAGGTGGCTTCCTCCCCTCTGTCCAGGCATGGGCCCGAGTGGAGTAGAGAACATTCAACATCGGGAAAAAATGAGGCCAAGAAGAGATCAAAGACAAGAAAGACCTGGGGAAGCACTCGAGGTTAACAAGGCCACCACTGAGGCCAGCAGGCTCATTCTCATCTGTTTCCCCGGGTCATGGGGAACCATGCTTCATCACCAGATCGTGAACCGGGCGGTATCGATGAGGCCCAAGGACAGTTTGCGCACAGCTAGCAGCCCTGCCCCGCTCTGGAAAAGGGCATGGAAGGAGAAGCATGCCTTCACTGAAACTTCTCTACAGGTCTGCCTTCTGTCTCAGCCCTGCAGTGTGGCAGCTAGAGTCAGCACGCTTCCCCGCCCACGTTCCCATCCCCCCACTCTCAGGGCAGCCACATCTTGAGCAGGGTAGAGGGCTGCTCCCGGCCGGGGTGCCAGCAATCACACCCAAGTTCCCTGAGCCTGCACCCAAGGAGCCTCACAAGCCCCCCTTCCAGAGACAGGGAATCCCTCCGCTGCTGTCACAGGAACGCCAAACACCAGTGTTTGTGCCAGGACTCATTTACACAAGCCCACTCCTCCCCAAGAGATGGATTTTTAAAACAAACAGCTTTTCCATATGTTAGCAAGCAGAGTCATGTCAGCATCAGGGATCCCCAGACGGAAACATGAGTCAGTCTGGGGCAGAGACTGCTAAATAAATCCTGTTTGGGTGAAATTCCTCTCTCTGGAGAAAGAGGAACCTCAAAGCGGATCGCTCAGATTCCCTGGCAAGAATGCCTAAAGACGCCACGTTCTCCCCAGCCGGGCACGCCCTGAGCACCCTGAACTCTGAAATCATCACCCCTCTAACGTGCATCTGCCTCTGTCACCCCATCCTTCCGGAAACTCTCCCAACCCGTCCCACCTGCGTCCCGGCACCCCTATTCCCACACGCACTCTGGTTCCATCCAGGGCATCGGGTGGCCCTACTCTGTTGGGCATGGGTTGTCCACACTCGAGCAGGATTTCCTGACATCCCAAGGCTTAGAGTTCTGGCAGCTAAAGAGACAAATGCACCACGTGGACACACGGATACCTGAGAAATGAAGGAACACAGGTAACAGGTGCAGACGGCTCACCTGGGAGACTCAGCCACTGAGCACTCTGTTGAGGAGATGTCAGATTTGGGAGCTTGAATTACCTGGGTCATCGCCTCCTCTTTCCTTAATTTTGCTTGTGGGGACTTGGTCAGAGAGAGGGATCCCTGAATCTTTGCTGTGTTGCTTGCGGGAGGTGGCAAGAAGGTACAAAGCAAAAGAACTGGCCTAGGAGGGGGTCGGGGCAGCATTTAGGACCTAACACAGACATGAGGCCAGATCATGCATGTTAGCGAGAGATGAGAGGCAGGAGGCTCCAGCTTAAGGACCAGTTGGGAGAATTCCAAGTCCAAACTGAGAAGCAGCAGAGCCTGGGCCAGACCTCGCCTCTCCGGGCTACAGCGCTGAGGGCAGGAGACTGGAAGCAAGGGCTCTGGGAGGTGCATGCGGCCTCCGAAAGGCACTGGTCCTGTGGGGACATGAGTCTCGGGTCCTGATGGGTGAAGACTCTGAGCCGCCCTCAGAGCAGGGGCTCCAGAGCGGTTACCATGGCTTCGGGTGCCTTTAAGCACAACCAGGGATTTCCGACGCAGGACAAGCCTTGGCTGGAGCATCAGTGGCTGGGCCCCGGCCCCGGCCCCCCCCCCCCCCCCCCACCCCCGCCCGCCCGCCACGCATAGGTGTCTGTAACCAGTGCAGGCACGTGAGCGAGCCCACAGTGCCCTAGGTGAAAGAGACAAAGGAACAATTACTGCCTGGCTGAGGGTCAGGGCCGGGGTGGGAGCAATGTGTTTCCCTAGGCTGCCCGCAAAGCCCCATCCGAGAGGAAGACCAGCCACGTACCGAGTCCGCTCTCCGCCAGCGCCGCGGGGCTCACGTGGCAGTCGCCCAGGTCCTGCTCACCCACGTCATTCAAATCCAAGCCGGGCTGGTGGGACCCGTTGCCAAAATGCCTCTCTTCCTTCTCGGAGCCGGCGTCCCCGTTTTCCATCCCATTCTGCGCCTTTTTCAGGGGCATTATTTGCAAGCCACTGGGGGTAGTCCTGTAAGACACCGTCTTGGTGGCCCTGTCCCCGCCTGCAGGGGGCTTGGCCGGATACCCTTTTTTCGGCTTGGACAGGGAAGGGTTGATCCGCTTCCGTTTATGGGAAGTCCCTTTGCTCTTGCCGGATTCCGAGGGTCTGTGGGACAGTTTTTCGACCGAGGGGCCTCGGCCGTCCCGCAGAAGCTTGGAGGCGCCGGACTGCTTCCCCGACTTGAGCCTCTTGTCCTTGGCCAGGTGCAGCCCGTTGAACTCATCAATGAACTCCTCGCAGTGCAGCAGGTGGTGCTCGGGCTCCCACGTGTCCTCCGTGCTCCCGTAGCCTTTCCACCGGATCAGATACTCCCATTTTCCCTTCTTGTTCTTCCTCTTGTCTACAATCCTTTCAACCTGGGATGCAAGAGGAGAATCAGGAAAGAGAGATAGACAGAAGAAAAAAAAATTAGTCCCAGAACACAAGAACAACGCAGAGCCCTCGGGATAGATGCATCCGCCCTGCCCATGGGGCGAGCTGCTCCCGAGGCAGGAAGCTGACCCTCCCAGGAGCCTTCAAGAAGGCTGGTTTATTTTAGGACATCGCTGAAGGAAACTGGCGGTGAACAACAACCATCGTTGTTTCCCATGACAACTGCACGATGCCACACCTGCCTGGCTGCATCGACCTGTCCATCCAAGGCTTACTCTTACTCGAAATCGCATTGCAAGCGTTCACTGAAGATCTATATTCTTTTCATTGCACCAAAGTCGAAACAGACTTTTAAAGACCAATTTGGTGTGCGTTTTTCACCGTTACTTATAATAATAAGTAACACTGAGCGTTTACATTATAGGCACTCTTCTAAATGTATCCTAACTTACAATGATACTAACGATTAGTAATACTCGCTGGGCATGTGAGAGGCAGACGCTACTAAATGCTGGCCATGGATGGCCCCATTTCATTTTCTCCAGACAACAACCCGATGCAGTAGGTGTTCTTCCTATCCGCACTTTACAGAGAGGGAAGTGGGGCTGAGAGATTGTCTCTCAACCAAGCTCCAAGCTGGTAAAAGCAGAGCTGGGATTTGAACCACTCTCACCCCGAGTTTTTTTTCTTAACCATCAGGCCATACCAACTCTCTCTCAACTATAAAAATCTTCCATATTGGCCAAAACTGACTCGAATCAATGAAGCCCAATATCCCCCTATTCGGCTCCCCCAGCTGCAACACAGGGGGTACAGCTGCGAGGTAAGGTGATGGGTGACATTTTTTGAGCGCCTATTATGTACCTTGCATAACCCCACAGGGTGTACCTTATTAATGCTCCGATTTGATAGATGAGGGATTAAGTATGACGCAAGCTGCCTACGATGCAGGGCTAAGAGGTGGTAGAGGTAGATCTGAGCATATATCTGGTTTTCGAGCCATGTAACTCCTGTCTATGTACCTTCAAAAGTAAGTAAATCTCTCATCTTCAACAAGACATGGAAAAACACACTTAGAGAATGCCAGTCCGAAGGCTAATAACTGGTGAATCGGGGGGAAGGGTGAGTGAGGCTTCACTTATTATTCTCTCAACTTTGCTATACATGTGAAATTTTTAATGAAAAAAATTGACAGAAAATTTCCAGTGCTCTACCCAAAAAAGAGCTAAATTTCAATGAAAAAGTAAACAATTATATTCAAAAGTTTACTATATTTTAATGTCAAGATAATATACTTTTCTAGGATGGAATTCGACCCAGTGAAATGAAGTAATAAGTGAGGAATATGCCCTCAAAACTCATGGAAAAAAAACCAATATGAGAGGGGAGAAGCAGTTACAGTTATAGTTGATAATTGTTAAAGATGGGTAATAGGTAAATGTGGGTTCATTATACAACTGTTTATGCCTGCATGTTGGAATTTTTATATGTCTAAATTTTTCCATAATAAAAATTTTTGAAAAGTGAGATTATCTCCCAATGATCCATATACAACAGAAGCGATGCAAAATAATTAAACGACTTCCATTGCTTTGCACTTAATAAATGTCTAAACAGCTAGGCCATATTGCCTCTTTATAATACTGCTTCTTCACAGACAATTTAAATTGTTTCCTTAATTGATCCGTCTGAAATCAAATTGGCCTATTTCTATGAAAATTTCTTTCCTTATAAAATGCTCTGTAAACATCTGTTTTAGATTTATTACATAATTTTTAGATGTATCACACAAACTCTATAATAGCTTGAAAAAGTAAAATCATGCCAAACGAATCCAACTTCCAATCTCTGAATCAAGGAATGGGACTAGCTGGGTATTCATTTGTGATAATGCTGCAGAAAAGTCAAGAGGAGGCTCTGGAGGAGCCTGCAGCTTTGCACATTTGTAGGACTTTGAAGGGGGAAACCCTCTGCAAGTTAACAGAGGGAGGAAAGTGAACAAGCAACATGGCACTGCTGGAAATAGCAGCATCCCTGAGAAGACCAACCTAGGAGTGTCAGGAGGAAGCCCAGAAATGTCTAAGGGCTATGAGGTACGGGATGCGTGTTGGCACGGAGGTCTCCAGCTTCAGAAAGCATGTGCTTGGCTCCCAGAATGGAGAACCTTCTTCCCCAGAATAAAGCAGAAAACCATGTTAGACAAACAGCCCACACAGTGATAGGTGGGTAGGTGGATGGATGGGTAGATGCATGGATGGATGGAAACATGGATGGTTGAATGGATGAATGAACAGATGGCTGGAGAGTAGAAAACCAGCTCCTCCCCCAGTGTGGCCCCAAGGAGCCATGTAGACACTCCATGTGTTCCTGGGCAAGTTACTAAACCTCAGATGACTCACCTAACAAGGGGGAAATAACAGCACCTACCTCATAGGGAGATAGTGGAGGACATACAAATAAGGAGATGAGCATTCCAGAGTAAAGGTCACTGAATCTTGCATACCCTCCTGTGAATACAAACCTGGGTGCTATCTAAAGGTAATGTGTCTCCACCCTGCAGACCGTGACCCCCTGAGGACACTCAACTCCTCCCCGGGAAGAAGACAGGGTCGAGTCCACCTACTTAGATAAGTCCTTCCAAGTGTGGGAGGCGGCTGTGCAGAGGAGGGCTGCTCGAGAAGCCTGGGCAGTCAGCAAGGGTGTCTACACGGCTACTTGGGGCCGCACTCGGGGAGGAGCTAGTTTTCTTCCCTCCTAGTTACTGGAGGATTGAGTCACAAGTGGCTTTATGAGGGACAGAAAGCCATTGCTTCCACCTCTGGTACCAACCAGAAAGCCACTGGGTGGCTTGACAGTCATTTCTACTTAAATTAACCCAATACCAACAATGAACAGTATTAACAGGATTATTAACGGCCTGACATGCAGGGGAAAAACTATTGGCTCTTCCACTTTCTATTCACATGACCCTGGGCAAGTTGCCCAGCCTCTCTGGGACTCAATGTCCCCATCTGTCAAACAGAAATAGTAATAATAATAATAATAGCGGCTTCCTGCAAGGTTGCTGGAATAAGGAATAAGGTGTGATTGAGAAAGTAAAGTGCCTTGAACACCACAAAGCACTACGAGGACATGAGTGGAATTGCTCTCAGAAATATAAAGCTTCAGGTGACAAAAGTGATTTTATATACATGATTTCTTCTACCGTTTAAACCTTTTATAAAAAATGGGTTTTTTCAGTTTCAGAAAAACAACTGCTTTTTCTGAAAGATGAAAATGCCCACAAGGAGCTCAGAGGAGAGCTGGCCCCCAAACACCCCACCAGACTTCCAATGCGCCATCTCCTGGGGCCTGATCTCCTTCTTTACATCCCTGCACAGGTTTTCTGACCCTCTTTTCCTCTTCTTCTCAGGAGATCCTCAAATAGAACCAGAACTCTAGTCTGTTCTGTTGATAACAAAAGCCTACATTATTTAGGACTTGAATGTTAAATGACTGCAACGTTCTCTGTCTGGAAATCCTGTCTTTCCCTTAAGCTCCCCCCAACCTCCGCCACTGTCCTCAACTCCTCACACCTGTTGAAAACAGAGACCTGGGCCCCCAGGTGCTAGCAGCTCTGCTCTTGATGCCCCGCACCCACGCTACCTGCACAGGCCTCGTGCACTACCTGAGGCTCAGGCCCTCCAAATGGAAACAATGGTCAATTCCCTTCTCCTCTAGTTACCTAGGAATGCGTGAATGATATTAAAAAAGCATGTGCTCACACACCTGCCACCTTCTCTATTCAAAGGTAAGCCATCTGAGGCCCTGAACGATTCCTTTGAGTTCAACCAAATCATTCATTAACATGTTCTCTCTGTGATCCCCGCTAACACAAGATGCGACTCTACTGCAGGTGGGGGCAGGGAAATTGAGGCAATTATTATCAGCACCAGGATGACAGGTGGATGGCTGTCTCGTTAGGAATGAGGATGACGACAGTCACCTTTAGTGGTACATGCTAAGTTCCAGGAACTGTGTTAAGAACTCATAAGCTGTCCACTGGGCAGTATTCTCACCACGGACAGGTGAGGAAGTTGAGACTCAGAGAAGTTAGGTAAGTTTCCCTCCATCACACAGTCAGTAGGTGGTTAGCCAAGATTGGAACCCTAGTTCATCTGACTCCTCGGCCCAAGTTCTTGGCCACCTGGCTACACCTCACCAGTGGGAAGCCACCAGAACCAGGCAAGCAAGGTGCCAAGCATGTGGCCCACAAGCACTGAAGAAGGAGACGGCTTCGTGAAGTCCTGCATCCAACACTGTAATGTGTGTCCGTACACAAGGCACCGCAGGCCATGGTGAACCCACAGACCGCCAGCGTGGCACCCACAGGCTGGTGGGGACACAGCGCCTGAATGAGGGTGCACGAAGTCACAGGTGATAACAATTATGAAAAGGGCTCTGACGGTGAAGAGAAAGGGGCTGTGGGAAAGAATGGCTACTTCAAATTGGATGGACAGGGAGGTTCCTCTGAGAAGGAACGGGGCCTTCGGAGATGGAGAAAATTTGGACCAGTGAGAGGCCTTTCCAGGCAGCAGGACAGCCTCCTCAGCTGTTGACTGGCAGGTGACCCAATAACACCACCACCACCTAACATTCACTCAGCATTTACCAAATGCCAGCCACTGTCTTATGTGATCCCTACACAGTAATGTAATATTATACATGTTAACTCATTTAATCTTCAAAATACCTGAACGAGGTAGGTCACTTTATTCTCTTTTTGACAAAGGACAAAGCTGAGGCGCCCAGGGATTAAGGACCTTGGCCAAGACCCCACCTCTGACAAGCAGCAGAGAGTTAAGACTTGGTTTGATGCATCCTGGCTCCAGACCCCATGCTTTCCCACTCCAGACACCATTTCCACTCCCCACTCTTGTTCAGTGAGCCCAACCTGACTGAGGCTGATGGCATACGTGCAACTTCTGATGCTCCCCCCAACTCC